TCATATTGAATCTGTGAGGAAACAGGCTTGGAAGAGTGTCATGTTCAAATTTTTACAGCTAGAAAGAATTTGCATCTTGGAGTTCAAATGATAATATTTAATATATAATGTTCATTACCATTAGATCTGGTTAGCACTTTATATACCCTACAGTCTTGGGAGGCAAATATCACTACTTTACTTTTGGTGAGTCTGAGGTTTAAAGAAGTGAAGTGACTTGCCTCAAGTCACCCATGGAAGAGAGGGGCTGATACTTCAAGCCAGATCTACTCAGTTCCAGCAGCAAGAGATTTGTTGAAAATCCAGGCCCTTCTGAATTCAAAGTCCATCTGTGCTCTGTATTCAGTCAGGCCTGATTTTAAACATTGGTCAAGAATTAGCATGGCAAATAGATGGGGAAACAGTGGGAACAGTGATGGACTTTATGTTCTTGGGCTCCAAAATCACTGCAGATGGTGACTGCAGCCATGAAATTAAAAGATGCTTATTCCTTGGAAGACAAATTATGACCAACCTAGACAGCATATTAAAGAACAGAGACGTTACTTTGCCAACGAAGGTCTGTCTAGTCAAGGGTATGGTTTTTCCAGTGGTCATGTATGGATGTGAGAGTTTTACAGTAAAGACAGCTGAGCACTGAAGAATTGATGCTTTTGAGCTATGGTGTTGGAGGAGAAGACTCTTGAGAGTCCCTTGGAGTGCAAGGAGATCCAACCAGTCCATTTCCTAAAGGAAACTTCCATTTAGTCCATTTCCTAAACCATGATTTCCTAAAGGAAATCAGTCCTGAATATTCATTGGAAGGACTGATGCTGAAGCTGAAACTCCAATACTTTGGCCACCTGATGCAAAGGACTGACTCATTTGAAAAAACCCTGATGCTGGGAAAGATTGAGGCTGGGAGGAGAAGAGGACGACAGAGGATGAGATGGTTTGATGTCATCACCAACTCAATGGACATGAGTTTGAGTAGACTGAGGGAGTTGGTGGTGGACAGGGAGGCCTGGTGTGCTGCAGTCCATGGGGTCGCAAAGAGTTGGATACAACTGAGCGACTGAACTGAACTGCCACATTTTGACAACATGACTATTTCTCCCAGCCTACTCCCTATGTTCTCTCATCACACTTCATTCATTTCTGGCATTGGGATCGAGGGCTCAGGATCTTTCTGTTTTGAGATTGACAAAGCCAGGGCAGGGTGAGGGTAAAGAGAAGAAAATGCCTAGCAGTAAGTCTTCCTGAAGTGTCTAGACTCCACCCATGAAACTTTGCTTGTGTGATTGGATTAAATTAGTCTCTGGGAGGTAATTCTGTTGACTGCTTGCCCACAATGATAAGTGGCAGACTCAGTGGTGATTCCAAGATTAAAGGTTTTATGGGAGAACAGGAGAGGGCCTACTGAGGACCAGACAACAGGCAGTATAACCTAGGGGGTGTTAGTGGTCAGAACGCTCAGCTGACTGTGTTTATCAAGTAGTCTGGGAAGACCTGGGAGGTGAAGAATGGGGATGCCTTCTAAAGAAAGGGTGATGGTTTGGTTGTGGCTGAAAGAGAAGGATAAGCAGGGAATGTGATTAGAGCCTGGTGAAGTAGGGCTGGGTTTGTCTCTGCATAATCAATTTCACCTTACGTTTTCTACCTCACTCCTCTTTCCCCACACTCTATATTCACCATTATCACCTGATTTGGAGAGCAATGGAAATTGATTTCATAGAAATGTACACCTGAAGACTGACAGCATGTGCATCAAATGAAAGTGAACTTCACTGAGAGACTTGGGGGTATTCTGGGAAGATCTGACTCAGAAACAGACTTACAGAAATAAATTTCCTTTTGCTGAAAGATCATATGCCTTCATGAGGTAAGATTCATAGGTGAAACTCAAATAGGAGAATAGTTCATCAGTATCTTTTAAAAATATCAAATGTTATCATTTTCATACAACTAGTGTTGTATAAACAGAATAACTCTTCTGGGGACATTTGGTAATACATATCAAGGCTCTTTAATGTACATACCCCTTGACCTCATATTTTGTTTAAAATGTTTTCCTAAGAAAATATTCAAAAGTATAGGCTAAACATTTTTTATATTCACAAAAAGTTGAAAACAACCTAAATGTCCAGCAATACAGGATTTCCTGAATAAATTATGGTATAATCTATATGGATAATAATTATACAATTGTTTTTAAGGTCACATTTTAGATGAATAGTTTTAAATGAGGAAACACTTAGTAGAAAACAAGAGATCAAAAGTACTGTGTGTGGAATGACATCAACTCTGCTGCTGCTGCTGCTGCTAAGTCGCTTCAGTCGTGTCCGACTCTGTGCGACCCCAGAGACGGCAGCCCACCAGGCTCCCCCGTCCCTGGGATTCTCCAGGCGAGAACTCTGGAGTGGATTGCCACTACCTTCTCCAATTCATGAAAGTGAAAAGTGAAAGTGAAGTCGCTCAGTCATGTCCGACTCTTAGTGACCCCATGGACTGCAGCCTACCAGGCTCCTCCGTCCATGGGATTTTCCAGGCAAGAGTACTGGAGTGGGTTGCCATTGCCTTCTCTGGACACCAACTCTGATAGCAAAAAAAGACATACAGATAAAAAACTAGAAGCATATACACCAAAATTTTATAGTGGAATTACGTTTTAAAATACTTTCTAAAATACGTTTACCTGCAATAAACATAAATGGAAAAAGAAATCTTTTATTTTTGTGTGTTTTTAAAAAAATATATTTATTTATTTTAATTGGAGGATAATTACAATACTGTGATGTACGGCCTCTGCCATCCATCAACATGAATCAGACATTGGCCTACATGTAACCCCTCTCTCCTGAATTCGTCTCCCGAATCCCTCGCTAACCCATCCCCCCCAGGTGTCACAGAGTACCAGCTTTGGGTTCCCTGAGTTATACATCAAACTCCCACTGGCTCTCTACTTTACATGTAATTGTGTGTATGTTTCAATGCTGAAATCTTTTATTTTCAAATAGCAATCTCTAAGAGAAAGTTTCTAAGAGACAAATTATTTATTTAGTCATAATATTTCTTGTGTACATGTATCTATATTTATGCACATACATTTTAATCAGTTTTTTTTGCTAGTAGTTTCTAAGGATGCAAGTTTTTGTTAAAAGAGTTACTTTTTGTTTCCGCCAAAGTCATATTAGTTTGTTTTTTCTGTCCTTCAATACAGATTTTGAATGTTATTTTACATAGGACCGAAGTGGTTGGATAGTTGAAATGGGTGAAGATATATTCATGACCATTTTCCTTTCTCGTCAACATCAGCTTTTATCATACAATTTCCTTTCATCACTTTGGTCAAGAGGAGGGGCAGAAAATTTTGAGTTAGAGCATGATTCAAAGTCAATTTGTGTCTGCCTCCATCTTACAGCCTCTCACACACCCAAAGAATAGGGGATTGTAAAAGCTAACTTCTCTCACCTTTTTCTGGTCAGTTTTCTCCATCTGCATCACTGGACAGCACCGACACAGGTAATGTTCGCTTTTTATTGTCTGAGATATTTGTAGCTGAGTATCTATTAGTCCTACTGATTTTAAAAAAAGATTCTAGAGAAAAAAGATTCTCAGAATATGATAGTTTATTATAAATGACTTGGCATGAATATAGGAGGATAGGAAAGCTTTTAATTTTTTAAAATTGATTCAGTTAGAACTGCATTCACTCTAAAGAGATGAAAACTGTAGTTCAGCATTTATGGAAAATTATTTTCTTTTTAAAAAATTGGTTATGATTTTTTGCTTTGTATTATCAAAATAAAGAGGGATTTGGGGAGTCAACAACTTTTTATTTAGGTCTAATGATTTACATATTGCCTTAATCAATCTTGAAGAGTTCTGTAGCAGAAATAACCCTTTCTCCTTAAGAAATTGGGAAAATGTGAGTAATAAAATTTAGATACTAAAGAAAAGAATTAAAGAATATAGTTACATGTGCTATTTGTTTTCCATATTTACTGTTTATTAGCATCTTTTCACACTGACTAATATACAAACAAGGTACATCATAAATATCTACAGTTTAAAGTTTCTTTTTGTATTGATATCAATTGATAGATAGAATCCTTTATGGGTATTAACTAAAGACTGCCTGTTAACAAATTTTATTTTCACATAGGCTTCTCTGGCAACTAGAAGATTATTTCTTTAAGTTTAATATGCACAGAATCATTTGGGATTAAAAATTCAAGTTCTGGGGTCTAATGTAAGAGATTTTTATTTGGCACATCTCCCACGAGGCACTGGAATCTGATATGTTAACCAATGTGCAGTGTTAACCCTCAATAATTTTTTTTTGCAGATAGTATATGGCATATACTTTGGTAGCATCATGTTATAGTTGAAAAGAACAACACAGTATATTTATCTACTCAGGTCAAGAAATAATTATCACAAACTGATATTCCAATCCTTCTAAGAACCTTTTACTATCAATAATGTAGATCTGAATACATAAGTATATGTATATACATATACATATACATATACATATACATTTTAAGCCAAGATTATTTGTTTTTCAAAATCTCAAAAAGATATAATTTTTGTTTTTTGAATTAATAGTTTTAAAAGTATCTCAGTAATTTGTGATGGTATCACTTTGCCTAACACTTGTATGTGCATGTTGAAGATTTTGAGCTAAATGGAATAGGACCTAGCCTATTTAATCTACCAGTAAATTAAAAAATATTCTTCCCATATTTTCTAATAATCATGGCTATAGTTACTAGGAGGAGTATAAATGACTTTAGCAAAAATATTGAAAGTTTCTCATTTCTTATATAAATCAGGCTCAGTCTACATACTTTAGGCCCTTGAAGGAATTACTGAGCACACATCCACATGCGTGCACACACATGCATAATCTTCTTAATCCTAGTATATTTTTAGAAAATGACGTTTTAATTTTTCTTTGGAATGAAATCATTCAGTTGAAAGTTTTGATGCAAAACGTATATTTGTTTACTCTAGAGATGAGTGATCAAGAAGTGACTTATTCCACCCTGAGATTTCTTCAGTCACCTTCAGAGTCACAAAACAGATTAAGACCTGGTGGTACTCAAAGACCTGACAAGACTGAGGAAAAAGGTACACATTTGAAACATCTAGATTCACCTGACTCTTATGTGCTTGCTAAGTCACTTCAGTCGTGTCCAACTCTCTGTGACCCCATGGATTGTAGCCCACCAGGCTCCTCTGTCCATGGCATTTCCCAGGGAAGAATACCAGAGTGGGTTGCCATTTTCTCCTCCAGGGGATCTTCCCAACCCAGGGATTGAACCTGTATCTCCTATGGCTCCTGCACTGTCGGCGAAATTTTTTACCGCTGAGCCACCGGGGGAAGCCTTCTTATGGACTGTCAAATTTTTGATGTTAGAAATAAAAAGTTCTATCCATATTCTAGGTGTTCAGTTGATAATAAGAAACCATAATGATCTTTAATGATCTTCTTAAAAAAATTGTGAGAATGGAGAAATTGATATATTCATTTAAACTTGAGAAGGCAATAGAGTGTTTTTATTCAAATTTGGTCAAGACAAATTCACAAGGACTCTTTTTAAGTTCCCCAACTAATCGAATCTGCACCCCCTGCATTGGAAGCACAGAGTCCTCACCACTGGACAGCCAGGAAAGTCCCTTGTGAGGGCTTCCAAAGTAAAAGACAGACTAGAGTCTCAAGAAAACATTGCAGTTCCTAAAGAAATATCTTACAGAATGTGAAGACATGAGAAATATGCATTAGAAGCAGTGTTCTTACTCATAAAAAGGTATTTTTGGTGTCTTAAATGTTTACCAAACTTTAATGGCAATGAAAAAACAAAAATATTCAAATCAAAAGGGCATTCGAACTTTTCCATTCTCTCTCTGTACCTTCAAACAGTGTCACAAGCTCTAAACTGAAAATGATTTTTACTGATTTAATGTAATGCCCATCAGAGATACAAATTTCGGATATATATATAAATATATATACACATATATATGTATGTATATATATATAGAGAGAGGATCTTGAAAGTAGGAAAATAAATAGAGCATTGCTAAAGAAAAAAGTTTTTAAGATAAATGGAGAAAAATTGATTTCTAGAAAGTTCTTTAAGAGATGGAGCCCAGTAACATTTGCAGCTTCAGAATACTCACTCTTGGCTACAAATTTCTCATGAACATTGCCTGCTTTTTCCTTCTTCTTCATGATTAGTTGTGATCACACAAATATGCCTGTCACTGTGGATCCTCACAAATGAGTATTGTGTTTATTGCCATCTGTACTTTTGTGGACAGAGGAGCCTGGCAGGCTACAGTCCATAGGGTTGCAAAGAGTCATACATGATTGAACAACCCTCACCCCCAACACACAAACACCTGTCTGTGCTTTTCTAAGGGATGCACACACACACATACATGTGTGTGCATTTATAAGGGATGCATTTTAAAACTCCTCCAATACTCTTCTTGTGGTGTTGGATTTCTGCAATGGGTGAATGTAAGTAAAAAACTTCTTTAAAACTTTACTTGTTTTAAAACTATAGTTACTGGATGGCGAATTAAAAACACTTTGTATGATGTATTTCTGTAAAATGTTTTTTAAAATTTTATGTATCTATTTTTGCCTGTGCTGGGTCTTGGGTTGCTGCTTTTGGGCTTTCTCTAGTTGCAGTGAGTGGGGGCTACTCTTTCTTGCCGTGAACTGGGTTTTCATTGTGGAAACTTCTTTTGTTGAAGAGCACAAGGGCTTCCCAGGTGGCACAGTGGTAAAGAATCCTCCTGCCAATGCAGGAGACTGGGGTTTGATCCCTGGGTTGGGAAAATCCCCTGGACCAGGAAATGGCAACACATTCCAGAACTCTTGCCTGAGAAATCCTATCAACAGAGAAGCCTGGTGGGCTACAGCCCATGGGGTTGCAAAGATTCAGACTACTGACACACGCACACTTGCATGTGTGTGCGCATGCACACACACACACACAGGTTCTAGGGCATGAGGGCTTCAGTAGTTTTAGCACACAGGCTCCATGGTTGTGGTACACGGGCTTAGTTGCCTGGCAGCATGTGGAATCTTCCTGGACCAGGGATTGAACTGGTACTGCCTGCATTGCAAGGCAGATTCTAAACCACTGGACCACCAGGATAGTTCCTGAAAATTTTTAGAGAAGATTGTTTCTATGTTTCAAATGGTGTCCAGCTTAAGACGAGTAGTGGGCCGACCTCTGTCCCCAGTGACCACTTTCTTCCTTCTTTATTTAGAGTCTTCAGTGCCCTGGCATGGCATTGCAGTGACTCTTGGGATCCTCTGTTTTCTTCTCTTGATGACAGTCACTGTGCTGTGTATAAAGAGTAAGTAACTGAAATACATCCAAGTCTGAGTAATAGAAACAACCACTCATTGTGTAGGTCCCAAGCATGCTCTATCAATTGTTGCATGGCTATAATCAGAGAATGTTCCAGGGAGTTCTTTCTTAGTGATGTTTTCCCTAGATATAATCACAGTGTGATTTTCATTCTGTTTAACTATTCCTGTATCTCTGAAGCTGTAATGAGCTGTCTGTTCTGTATAAGGCATGTTAACATTTTTTATGATATAGGACTTAGCACAGAAAACCCCCTTTTCCATGAGGGACACCATCTCAGACCCCCAGTGGTGCCTGAAGTCACAGATAGCACTGAACCCTGTACATACTATGGGTTTTTCCTATTCATACACACCTACAATAAAATTTATAATTTAAGCACAGTAAGCGAATATCTGAATTGCCAGCATCACTACTCTTGTGATTTCAGACCATTATTAAGTGAAGTAAGGGTTGAATACAAGCACTGCATATCCCGACAGTCATCTGATGAAGTTTACCAAGTGACTGATGAGAGTGGGATACACTTGACAAAGGAATGATTCCCCTTCCTGGGGAACACAAGAGGGATGGCGTGAGTTTCCATCACACTATGCAGAACTGCGTGCAATTTAAAACTTATGAATTACTTATTTCTGGAGTTTTCCATTTAATATTTTCAGGTTGTGGTTGACGGGGTAACTCAAACTGCAGAAAGCAAAACCAAGGTTAAAGGGGAACTATTGTAATATTCCACCTTCTAAATTTACATTACTTTGAATCTGAGATACAAATTCTTTGAGAAACAACTGTTTGAAAGTGAATCATGACTTTCTCTTAATTTTTAAAAAAATCTATAATAAGGAAATGATTTAGTAAAATGAGTGAGTCTATGCATGATGATTAGATGATCTTGAATGTGACCTTTAGCTTTCATTTGAGTTCCTTGACATCTTTGGGGAAAAGTACTAATATGTTACACTCAGATAAAACTATGTATTTGGGTCTTCCTCTCTTTTTTCTTATGGATATTCTGTCTATTCCAATGATATTGGTGCTATTTCTTCATGCTGTTTAGTGTAGATTTTCATACTCAGAAGATGTGTTGCTAAGTGTTGGTCAGTTTCTCCTTTGGTGCCTATTTGTAGATGACACACTAACTTAAAAAGAAATTGAACTGAATACTTAGATGTTACCATCATAATTTTATTTAGAAATCATGATTTATTTATTCTATACTTAGGTGGCCCATAGTGAAAAATCTGATGTTTCAACTTATATGGTCACGTTGTAGAGGTGTTACTTTCTAAATGTAAAATTACTAATTAAAGGAATGAAATAGATTGGTTGTCAAAGTGAGATTTCTTTTCTCCTGTCCTAATAACAGTGAAGCTTTATAAGTACTTTAAAATTATACCTATGCTGTTAATTTTAGTTTTCCAGTATATTCAAGAAAAACATCAACAGGAGGAAATTCTACGGAACCTCAGTCAAAAGTATGATGTTTTACAAAGTGACAACTACTTAAAGAAGCAACTTTTGACAGAGAAGACTTCAGAATGCGATAGACTAAATGAAACTCTTCAGCAAATAAAAAGGTCAGACTTACTTGTTACAGAAAAGGGATGCAATCAAGAAAAGAAGTCTTCAGAGTCTTTGCCAAATACAGGTATGGAGGAAATCTTGAATTGAAGATCACACAATTTTCCATGAATTATTCCTACTCCAAAAGTTTTGAGGCTTAATCCAGGCTTATGTTATGTGCCAGGGATCCATGTCTGCTAGACAACTTTTAATTTGTGCCTCTTAGATGTAGCATGGTTATTTGAGTTTGCTTATTTCAAATATAGGATTGAGACCCCAGGAATCATGTTTGGATGAATAGTCTTGTACTTCCCAAATCCAATTGCAGTTCTTGCCTTCTTATACTCCCAGAAGGTGAAATAATATTATGTCAGGGCCCCTGAAAATTTGGATTGCTTTGGACCTGCAGGCAAATTAGACACTTCAACTTTGTTGCTAACATGAAATATGGCGACGATCAGTAAAAATACATTTAGGTTAAAATAAGTGCAAGTCCTTTCATGTGTATGCTGTTGTAAAGATAACTCTGTGTTTGTGTTTCCACTCTGCACTGACTTCAGATATTTGATCTATTTATGATCAATATGTACTTCCTCCAGTGGGCTTCCCCCGTGGCTCAGCGGTAAAGAACCTGCCTGCAATGCAGGAGACGCAGGAGATGTGGGTTCAATCCCTGGGTGAGGAAGATCCTCTGGAGGAGGGCATGACAACCCACTCCAGTATTCTTGCCTAGAGAATCCCATGGACTGAGGATCCAGGCAGTCTGCAGTTCATAGGATCGAAAAGAGTCAGACAAGACTGAAGTGACTGAGCATGCACATGCATATTCCTTCTAGTACATTTACAAGACGTGCCAGGATGTTGATGTTTGTGCGACATTGTGTGATGATACTATTCAAAACATCTAAGAAATAAGAATATTAAATCTCATACAATAATGAACTTTGTTATGCATAATGATGGAATGAATTGGCCTGATTAACCAACATCTAAATATTTTGTTTAGTGTTTATTATACAAAGAGATTTTGCATATTTGATATCATTTAGGTATGGTAGTTAGTAGAAATGTACTTTTTCTGGTACTGAAGAATTAATAATATTTTATTTTTTGTTTCTTTTTTTACTACCTATAAAAAATTTAGATTTCATGCTGTAGAAAGGTTCACATCTTGTTTTTTTCTCTTCTGTGGCCATTTTTCCATAGTCTCTTTTTTTTTTTTTAATTATTTACTTTTGGCTGTGCTGGGTTTTTGTTGCTGCACGGGCTTTTCACTAGTTGTGATGAGTTGGGGCTACTCTCTAGTTGCGGTGCATAGAGTTCTCATTGTGGCGCCTTCTCTTGCTGTGGAACGTGTGCTTTAGGGCTCACTGGCTTCAGTAGGCATGGCACAGGGGCTCAATAGTTGCGGCTCCCAGGTTCTAGAGCACAGGCTTGATGGTCACGGCACATGGGCTAAGTTGCTCCATGGCATGTGGGGTCTTCCCAGATTAGGGGTTGAACCTGGGTCTCCTGCATTGGTAGGCAAATTCTTTACCACTGAGCCACCAAAGAGCCTCTTCCATAGTTTTAAATACTCCTCACAAACATGTCTGTTAGTGTTGTATGTTATTGCATTGTATTTGTGACAATTTAAATGTTTTCTTTATTAGACTGTTAGACTGTTTTCAATTTTTGTCTTCTATAAATAATCATAAACATACTTTGAGGGATTAATAGTATTTTGATTTGGTATATTATAAAAGATGAGGAGAAGAAAAATTTCCAAAGAATAATTTTAATTTTATTTAGAAGGTATTTCAGAATCTCTAAGCATTTATAAAGTTAATTTTATTATTATGAAAACTGCTTTTCTGAGGTATTATTAATATGCAAAAAGCTGCATATAATTAATGTATGCAACTTGATGAGTTGGGACGTATGTATATATGGGTAAAACCATCCACAATTAGAGTAATAGGCATATCTATCACCTTCAAAAGTTTTCCTATGTCCCTTTCTGCTCTGTGGTAAGAACACTTAGCATGAGGTCTGCCCTTTTAACAAGTTTTTAAGTGTTTGATTCATTATTAGCTTCAGGCACCATGTTGTACTTCAGATCTCTGGAATTTATTCACCTTGAGTAACTGAAACTGTGTACCCATGAAACAACAGCCCTCTCCCTTCCCCCAGTTACCCCTTTTCTACTTTCTGTTTGACTACTTTTTACATCTCATACAAGTGGAATCATGCAATATTTGCCCTTTGTCATTGACTTATTTCACTTAACATAATTATCCTCAAGTTTCATCCATGCAGTTACTGATGGCAAGATTTCATTCTTACGGCTGAGTAATATTCCCTTTATTTTTTTATATTTATGAACTCTATATTTAGTTTTGGCAATAGACTAAAAAGTAACCAGGACATTGTTAATTGTTGTGTTTCTTGATACAGGGCAATAAAAACAATGTTGATTCTGTAAAAGTAGTCACCTTTGGTTAATCAAGAATGTGCTTCTCAATTGTTCTCTATCTCTGTTTTCATAACCTCAGAAGTCCAGTGCTGGAAAATTAATATTCCCTTTAGAATAGATCACATTTTCTTCATCCATCAATGGGCATTTGGATTGTTTCCATTTCTCGACTATTGTGAATAGTGCTGCAAAGACTATGGGAATGCAGAGTTCCCTCGGCATTCCTGACTTCTGACGAAATTCACCTTATCATTATTGATAGCTACTAAGATTTTTCAAATTATGGAGGGCTGATAAATATCTTCCTCTGCTTAACAAAACACCAGATGAAAAGACTTTTAATGCTTCACCTTATGTATTATAGGCAAACTCAAGGAAGTCTCCTGGTGGTGTTGGGGAGTAACCTGTTACTACTTTACTGCTGAAACTAATACCTGGATGGGATGTAAACAGACTTGCCAAAGTCACAATTCATCTCTTTTGAAGATAGACGATGCAGAAGAACTGGTATCATGGATAGTTATATGTACTTTTATCCTCTAGGCCTCTGTCTCTCACCTTTGGGCCCAAGATACTAAGAAAATGGGGAAGTTTAGAAAAAGGAACCTTCAGTTATTCCTTGTGTCATGACTGTCAGGTGAACAAAAATTGTATAGTTAAGAGTCTCAAAAAAAAAATCAAACAAAACAGATTTTTCTAGTGAAATATCTTGGGTCTTTCCTTCTGTTAAGCTAATTACTTAAAAGTAAGAACTGAAGAACATGAAGACTGTAACACAGACAGCCTCCTTGAGGGTAGGAGTGGCAGTTGCTTCTTAGAGCTCGAAATTGATGGGCTGAGTGTGGCATTCATCAGAATCCCTAATAAGTATTTCCCTCTTGGTGAATGCTATTCTCAAATACCTTCTTGTTTCCACAAAAAAGATAAAAAATTAAAGAGCAGAAGAACTTGCCTGCTAATAGGAATGTGATCTTGCTATTTTATAAGCATTCAATACATATTACCTATCATGATGGGCATGATTATTTTCAAAATGGAAACCCCCTTGAAGATGCAATTTGGGTCTTTGCAATCATCTCCCTTATTTAGGACTCTGAAGAAAAAGCATGCCTTTCCTTTGATGAAGTACTTAACCCTTCAGTAAATGGCAGTCTGGAGCCAGCAGTTATTTTTTTTCCTATAAGGTGGTAACTGAAAACCCAAAGGCAGTGTAGTTTAGTAGTTACTATTAGGAATCCAGGAGCCAGACTGCCTGGTACTGAATTCAGTTCTGCCACTTACTAGCTGGGTGACCCTAGGCAAATTACTTAACCACTCTGGGCCTCAGTTTTCCCACCTGGAAAATGTAGATAATAATGAGAAATATAAAAGTGGTGGTAGTTTTACAAATTAGCTTTATGGTAATTTTCATTGCATCTGTAGGCAACATTCTGGAGGAGGTAATGGCAACCCACTCCAGTATTCTTGCCAGGATAATCCCATGGACAGAGGAGTCTGGCAGGCTACAGTCTGGGGTCTCAAAAGTTGGACACAACTGAGTGACTGAGCATGCACGCATGTAGGTAGCATTTACTTGGTCAGTATTTGTATATATTATATCAATATGTATATCTCTCAAAAAGAATTGTAAAAAGAGAAAATACAGTGACAATAATATTGCATTTATCTTTTAAATTTATGGTAAATAAAAACTATCCACACACACAAAATGTGTTTTTACAGAGAAACGGTTGCAACTATCAGTCTGAAATCTCTACTTATTATCTAGATAAACAAAACAAAATTTCTATGCAGATCTAGCAGATATTTTAAATCATAACATGAAAGAATTATGATGTCAAGTCATAAAGTAATTTTTTATGTTTGTTGCACTAAAATAATGAAAATTATATTTAGAAATATATTCAGTCATTTAACCAGACATTATGTACTATGTCATTTTGATATATTACATTTGGGGGCATAGTAAATATTTCCAAATATGGCCTTGTTTCCCTCCACCCCTTCCAATTATTGAACTACAGCATGTCTTTTTTTTATCTTTTTAATGAAGTTGAAGGCTCTAATGCACACATCCCCACGAACGTTTGTTATTTTAATAATTTGTTTAGAAGATTTCTTCTTTCACTTGAAATATGTAATGATTATTTTTCTTAACCCTTAAGTTTTCTCTGGAGCATAACTTTGAATGGTTTCATAAAATGTCATGTATTATTTAACAATTCTTCTATTGTTAGATATTTAAACTTTTCCACATTTTAAATAACCTATTAGACTGGCAGCCATTTGTAACAGAAATAAACTATTAGATGAAAATTACTTTGGAAAATGAAAATACAGTGGTTGAAGGAAGAGAGAGTCTTTTAGGAAGGAGGGATGAAGGATCAAGTAGAAATTAGCAGACCACTGGTAGTAGAAACAACTGGATCTTTTACCTGACCTTATTTTCATTCATTTAATAGATGGGAATTTAGTCCCATGATATGTTTTGTTTCCTTTTTAGAACCTCCTTCAACCCCAAGCTTGTCAAAATTCCTACTGGATTGGATTATCATTTAACCTAATGGAAAATAGGTGGAAATGGATTGACAATGGCATACCTTCTGGACTGTAAGTTTCCGGGATGCATTCAAATTCTAATATTGGTGTTGGGTTGGAATGATTATTTCTAAAAATAATCTTCATGTAGCTCAACTCATTTTCAGGTAGAAGTCATTAGTAAGAAGGAGAATGATTCAAAAAGTATTCCAGGAAGTGTAGTTAAAAAGGAAGAGAAGCATCATACAGAGTTAATATAAAATTATGACGCTAAACAGATGTTCAGAAGTATGTGTTATGAGGCCTGCAGTCTAAAACAGAATCATAAAGTAAGGCGATGTGATGTGACTGGACCAGTCTGAGTTAGCCATAGTGATCCCTTCCACAACCACAAATAAGTATTTTGAGTATCCTCAAAATTCACTTGAAACTCCTTTGTATTCGTGGTGGTGGCGATGGTTTGGTCACTAAGTTGTGTCTGACTTTTGCGGCCCCATGGACTGTAGTCTACCTGGCTCCTCTGTCCATGGGACTTCCCAAGCAAGAATACTGGAGTGGGTTGCCATTCCTTTCTCCAGGGGTTTTTCCCAACCCAGGGATTGAACCTGTGTCTCCTGCATCCCATGCTTTGCATGCAGATTCTGTACCATTGAGTCATTGGGAAGCCTTTGTATTAGTAGTTTATATTAATTATAAATAAACATAAATGTAAATATAAACATACACACATGCATGTGTATACACATACATATACCCACATCCTCCCTATAGTCCTTCTATTAAGTGCAGTACTTTGTGAACTCTTGAGTTTACATTTAGTTATAATCTGCTATTCAATGATTTTTTAAAAAATCTGAACTGTTACATTTTTTATTTCTAAGAGTTCTCTTACATTTTCAAATCTGCTTGCTAGTTACTCATGTATTCAAACTGTCTTGAATTTATTTGAACTTATTTATTTCTTAAAAGATCATCCTCAATTTATATTTGGTACCTGATCATTTTAATATTTGAAGTTTTGTGGGTCCAACATATCACATCTTTTGTTCATGATGTCATTTCCTTTGTAGTGTTTAGTGGTTTTTTTTTTTTTTTTTTTGAGCCTCTGGAAATTATTTGAGGATTGAGATGAAGGTGGCTTCCTCAAGGAAAAAATTTGCCTTTGTTGGCTGTCTTGGGACATTGTGAATCTGAGCAGTTTTTAATTCTAAATTTGGGCTCTGCAAGTAGTGTGAATCTGGGCTGCAAATCTACAAGAGATGTCATCCAGGAGTAATCATAGTCTGTGAGTACAGTCCCAGGTGAACACTTTCAGGGCCAAAATAAGATGCTCGCATTGCATAATTAATCAAATCCATGTTAAACACATAGCGCTATGCAGGGGGAAAGAAATGGGATAGCCTATCACACTTGGATGGGATGGGATAGCTTGTCACAGTTAGGAGAAGGGGCAAGTGTGTGAAAAGATGCCCTGGATCCTAAGTTACACACGCTTCATCTGACCTGGCTATGTGGTATCACATTTCCCTGAGGATGGTAGAAGGGCCAGACTTGAGATTTTGTATAAGGGGGCGAACAGACAGAAGGTTCCTGTGGCCAGCACATACCTTTTCTCTACTGCGTGGATACAGGAGCAAGCATGCCTCGTTAGAGCTGCAGCTTTGCAATTAACCTGAGGGGCAGCTATGGATTCTACTGGAGTTCTTCAGGCAGGGGGCCAGAATGAGTGTCCCCCATGGGTGACAAACTTAAGACTGAATGTAGAGTGTCTATGTTCATCATGTGTATTTTATGTATGATGTTTTATGTCTGCTTGATTCTTTCTTCCTTTCCTATGTTCAGCACACATGGGTTCTACTTCCTCTTTGTCTTTGTGCTCAGTTGCTCAGTTGTGTCCAACCCTTGGCCTGTAGCCCACCAGGTTCCTCTGTCCATGGAATTTTCCAGGTCAGAATACTGGGGTGAGTTGCCATTTCCTTCTCCAGGGGATCTTCCCAACCCAGGGATTGAACTGACATCTCCATTGGCAGGTGGATTCTTTACTGCCAAGTGAAGCCCTCTGCTTACTACATCTAACAAATCACATAGGTTACTAACTTACTTAACACATCTGGTACTTTCTGCTTGTGCCTCACAAGCTATTTAGTTTCATTTCTCTTCCTTAATTGTTTCTCTTTTTAACTAAAGCATGTTCAAGTATTCCTAGGTAATACAGCAAATGCAAATTGCATGAGGGGTGGTTTGTGATTTTGGATTGTTAGGTGGGATTATTCCTTTTCTCCTCTGCTTAAATTCAAGGTTCAAGACAGTCCTAAGGTGGTTTATATTGGAAATATATCACTCAACCCGTTTGGTTGCTTGCTTTCTATGCATTGGGTTGGCCAAAAAGTTGGTTTGGGTTTTCCTGTAAGATGTTATGAACTTTTTTGACCAACCCAATAGAATTTTCATCTTGGGCAGAATTCATTCTCTAGCCTGCTACTTCTAAGGGAAAGACTGGTTTCAGTGCTTCACTTACCGTTCTGGGTTTCCATCGTTGCTTAACCCTCACAGCCTGAGCACAAATCTGCCTCTTGCCAGTCCATGAACTTACTCAAGAGGTTTTAAAATTTTTTTTCAGCATTTTACACTATCTTCAACAGGAAGATAGTTCTCCCCTAATCAACCACTTTGCTGAAATAGAGATCCTGTTTTAGATAATTTTTCAGTGAAATTTTAATGTTTTAGTTAATAACTATTAGCTATGGGGGTAACAGCCCCATAGCTAACTGGGAGAGAGGGAAAGAAAAGATATGAAACATCCATTCAACAACTTCATCTCTGCCTATATTCCAATTCTACTTTTTCTTCTTAAATTATATTCACATGCTACCCTGTTACCTGTATCATAGAAATTCAGTTCCTCTCCTTTTAAATATCTCATTTTAATTGAAATAATTAACACAAGAAAGCAGGTTACCATGTCATGATCTCAACTAGCAATATTGCTCTATGGTCAAAAATTCCCAGGGTGAAACAAAATGTGAGGTTATAGATGTGATCAAGAAGATGTTATTCTATTTAATGGGCTAAGAGCAATAGGAAATCTTCTAGTTTATTTATTTATTTGGCTGAGCCAACTCTTAGTTTCAAATATATAGGATCTTTCGTTGTTGCAGGTGAACTCTTAGTTGTGGCTTGTTGGTGTGTGGAATCTAGTTTCCTGACCAAGGATCAAACCCAGGCCCCTTGCATTGGGAGCGTGGAGTCTTCGTCACCGGACCAGTATGGAAGTCCCAGAAATCTTTTAGTGATGAACTTATCATTAGTATTTTCATAGGCCAGATATTTAGAAAACAGACTTTAAAATACGATTTATGTTATTGTAAGTTGCAGAATTAAACAGTTGACCATGTATGTTTTCTGTCCTACAGTAATTTGACAATAATGGATTATCATTTTTGGAAAAGTGAATGTGCATTTTTAACCTCAACAAGAATAGAAACTATTAATTGCTATAGAACCTATAATTGTATCTGCAAGAAGAGAATTGATTGCTTCAATAAATGCTAAGAAGAAAAGGTGAAATGGAATTTTGTAAATTTTTTGGTTGTTGGTTTTCTATAGTAATTTGTGGTTAATTATAAATTAATGTTTTTGACTGCAGGACTTAGTTTACTGTAGAAACAGAGATGAGATGGAAGAGGAAGAGAAAACGCTCTTTTGGAATGTGATGGAAGACATCAGATGCCATGTGTCTTCTTGGGGAAGAGAGAATCATTTTGTCTTTGGAGAGCAGTTACCCCTCTCTTTTGATGGCCTTGAGGAATTGCTCTGTGTTTTCCTGAAACACCCACAGAATCAATTAGACAACTTTGATAAATAGCTTGAGTTTTTTCCTTATCAATAGGATAAATCATTTCAATAGACTCTGGCTTTGAGAGATCATAATTAATAACTAAAAAGTGGTTATCCTTCCTCCCGCCCCATCTAGATACTTAACTCTCATGAAGAATAATTTTGCTATAATTTCAAACTTACTGAATAGTTGAAACAGTAGTACAAGGAACTATCTTGTAATCTTTACCCATGGTTACCATTTGTTTAAATTTTACTGTATATGCATTTTATAGTTTCTTTCTCTCTGTCTCTTTCCTTGCTGATTAATTTGATAACAAATTTAGGACATTATGCCCCTTTGTCTAAATATTTCACAAGAACAAGGATTTTGTCCTCTATAACCATAGAACAATTGTCAAAATCAGGAAATTTAGCACTGGTACAATACTATGAGGGAAGCCTGGTGTGCTGCAGTCCATGGGGTAGCAAAGAGTTGGACATGACTGAGCGACTGAATAACCAATAGCAGACTTCCAACTGATGCACAGTCCTCCCCATCAGCTCTAGATGTGGCCCTTCATAATTTGAAACACAGTGTTACAATGATGAATTCCACCATCACTTCTTATACAAAGTGGTAGTGGAAACAGAAGAAGAAAAAAGACATAATTTCTTATCATATAACTATAAAAATATAGCTATAAAAAGAGCTGTAAAAAATAGCTACCAATCCCCTTGTCTGTGTAATAGGTGATGAAGCCATAGTTGAATTTATCACTTTCTATTCCTACCATTCATTTTTCTCATGAAGCTGATGCCTCAACTAGTTGTGCAGCTGATTGGTGTTGTGATGGTGGCTCAGAAGAGCTCTGGTACTGAAAGGCTGTTGCTGAACCACGAAAGATGCTGGGATTCTTGGCCTCTGGGGGAGAAAAATTCAATCTGGGTCCAGAGATGAGGCTTGATCACTCAGAGCTTTTGTGTAATAAAGTTTTATTAAAGTATAAAAGAGATAGAGAAATCTTCTGACATAGACATCAGAAGGGGGCAGAAAGAGCACCCCCCTGCTAGTCTTTAGCTTGATGTTATATAGCTACTAGCAGCCTGCTAATTAAAGAAAGGAAATGTCTCAAAACTCAGAGAATGGCACCAGGCCCCTCACCCACAACATGGATTATTGAGATAACATTGGCACCAGGTGAGTCATCCTGGGCCATAAAACAATTGACATGAATCTTGAAGAAAGGAAGATTTCGATACAAATACATAGTTTCATTAGCATAGATTAGGAGAACAATATATTGAAGGAGGAAACAGTACAGGCTCCATCTTGAAAGCAGGACTCCATCTTGGGCCAGGCTGTGGACTTTGAGCTATATGCCCAGTATTTATGGAAATGATATACCAACAGGAAAACCAGGCCCCTGGAAAGAAGAGCCCCAGCGCTCTCAATCACCTAAAGAATACCCTAATTATCTGTGTAACCGAATAGAATCATACATTCTATTATGGTTATTGGGGTATGACCACAGGCCTATTGATAATTGTCCGCTGTTAACTACCTAGGCTTAAGGCACATGAATCACAGGTTAACTTTGAGTGTATCTTTCTTTTCCTTTGTTCAGACTAGTTTCAGGGAATTTGGGGAAGTGGGTTTGGGCATGTATACTTAGGGTATATAAGGTTTTCACAAAAACTGGTTGGGGTCCTTGGCTAAGAGGAGACTCTGCCTTGGGCCCGCCAGTGTAATAAATTGCACTCCACTATCTTCAGTGTCCTTCAGAGTGAGTTTGTTTCCCTGAATGCGTGGCTACAATAGTACAAATATAGCATACTGGTTTGTCAAGTCGGTTCTGATCCTTTAGGCGGAACCGACTTGAAGACAGTTCAGTTCAGTCGCTCTGTTGTGTCCGACTCTGCGACCCCATGAACCGCAGCACGCCAGGCCTCCCTGTTCATCACCAACTCCCAGAGTCCACCCGAAGCCATGTCCATTGAGTCAGTGATGCCATCCAACCATCTCATCCTCAGTCGTCCCCTTCTCCTCCTGCCCTCAATCTTTCCCAGCATCAGGGTCTTTTCCAATGAGTCAGCTCTTCGCATAAGGTGGTCAAAGTAATGGAGTTTCAGCTTCAACATCAGTCCTTCCAATGAACACCCAGGACTGATCTCCTTTAGGATGGACTGGTTGGAACTCCTTGAAGTCCAAGGGACTCTCAAGAGTCTTCTCCAACACCACAGTTCAAAAGTATCAATTCTTCTGCTCTCAGCTTTCTTTATATCTTGAAGACAGAGTCTGGGGTAAATACATAACACATTAACATAGTTTAAGACAAACATTTCCATAAGAAAAATTCATTGGTTAGCTCAAGCTCTGAGAAAAGTTAAGTTCAGGTGGAACCAGGTGTCATTATGAAAACACAGAATTTTTAAGAGAAATCTCTTTTTAAATGTGTATAGAGAAGGGGAAAACAATGTAACACTAATTTGTTTCCTCCGGCCATTTAAGGGAGAGATAAAAAATGTCTGACGCTTGCAGCCTATTTTCTCCATTTGGAGACCCCTGGCCTTCCCATCTGTTACCGTCTCAGTACCATAGTCCTTTATGTCTCACCACAGAGAGGAATTCAGTGAGAGGCAAAGTGGTAGATAAGAATAGATTTATTAGACTAGGACTCTTGTCAGGTTTACAAGCGGGTGGGCGAGAAATGCTATGCCCAGAGAACTTAGTGGGGTACAGTTTAATAATAAAAGGAAAGTGGGCATGGGGAGAGGAACATCCTTGTCTTTCTTGAGTAGTCCTCCTGCTTTCATCATCAGCTCCTCCATCAGGTTGGGCAAGGGAGTTTTCTTGTCCCTACATGGTCAAGCTAGGTTCACAAATTATTGTTGTTCATGTGTGCACAGAACATGTCCTAGGGAATCATTAACTTTCTGAGCTCACAGGGCAGGATATGGATTTCATACCACCATTGTTTTATTGTTTGGGGGCATGTCTTGTACTTTTGTTGTATGGCTTTTTGTTGCTAATCAAACTTGCTTGATTTTGTGGTTAAACAAACACAATTTTGCTTACAAAAAAGGTCTTCATGACCCAGATAACCACAATGGTGTGATAACTCACCTAGAGCCAGACATCCTGGAATGCAAAGTCAAGTGGACTTTAGGAAGCATCACTACGAACAAAGTTAGTGGAGGTGATGGAATTCCAGTTGAGCTATTTCAAATCCTGAAAGATGATGCTGTGAAAGTGCTGCACTCAATATGCTAGCACATTTGGAAAACCCAGCAGTGGCCACAGGACTGGAAAAGGCAGTTTTCATTCTAATACCAGAGAAAAGCAAAGCCAAAGAATGCTCAAACTACCACACAATGGCACTCATCTCACATGCTAGCAAAGTAATGCTCAAAATTCTCCAAGCCAGGCTTCAACAGTATGTGAACCAAGAACTTGCAGATGTTCAAGCTGGGTTTAGAAAAGGCAGAAGAACCAGAGATCACATTGCCAATATCCGTTGGATCATTGAAAAAGCAAGAGAGCTCCAGAAAAGCATCTACTTCTGCTTTATTGACTACACCAAAGCATTTGACTGTGTGGATCACAACAGACCACAGAAAATTCTTCAAGAGATGGGAATACCAGACCACCTGATCTGCCTCCTGAGCAATCTGTATGCAGGTCAAGAAGCAGCAGTTGGAACTGGACATGGAACAACAGACTGGATCCAATTCAGGAAAGGAGTATATTGTATACTGTATATACAAGACTGTATATTGTCACCCTGTTCATTTAACTTAAATGCAGAGTGCATGATGCGAACTGCCAGGATGGATGAAGCACAAGCTGGAATCAAGATTGCCAGGAGAAGTATCAATAACCTCAGATATGCAGATGACACCACCCTTATGGCAGAAAACGAAGAACTAAAGAGCCTCTTGATGAAAGTGAAAGAGGAGAGTGAAAAAATAAACTCAACATTCAGAAAACTAACATTGTGATACCTGGTCCCATCACTTCATGGCAAATAGATGGGGAAACAGTGGAAACAATGAGAGACTATTTTGGGGGGCTCCAAAATCACTGTAGATGGTGACTGCAGCCATGAAAATTAAAGACGCTTGCTCCTTGGAAGAAAAGTTATGACCAACCTAGACAGCTTATTAAAAAGCAGAGACTTTTTTTTTTTGCCAACAAAGGTCCATCTAGTCAAGGTTATGGTTTTTCCAGTGGTCATGTGTCGATGTGAGAGTTGGAGTATAAAGAAAGTTGAGCACTGAAGAATTAATGCTTTTGAACTGTGGTATTGGAGAAGACTGCTGAGAGTTCCTTGGACTACAAGGAGTTCCAATCAGTCCATCCTAAAGGAAATCAATCCTGAATATTCATTGGAAGGACTGATGTTGAAGCTGAAATGCCAATACTTTGACCACCTGATTTGAAGAGTTGACTTATTTGAAAAGACTCTGATGCTGGGAAACATTGAAGGCAGGAGAAGAAGGGGACAACAGAGGTTGATGGCATCACTGACTCAATGGACATGAGTTTGAGTAAACTCCAGGAGTTGGTGATGGACAGGGAAGCCTGGCATGCTGCAGTCCATGGGGTCGCAAGGAGTCGGACACAACTGATTGACTGAACCGAACTGAACTGAAACATGATTTTCCCAGCCCAGTTACTCAGCAGTAAGAATCCACCTGCCAATGCAGGAGACAGAGTTCAATCCCTGGGTCAG